TTCTCCTCGATCTGACTTTCAGCGCTCACTGAATCATAATAGCCTGGCCCAGTCGGCCAGACAGTCATTGTCAACACATGAGGAAGAGAACAGACATGATTGGGTAATAGTTTTGTTTGGCAACAGAGAGAAAGTAATACAGTAAGTCACGCGGTCTCATGCTACCTATCAGAGAGGAAATTGAGTGACACCAACCCTCAAACAACTGCTCTCACTGAGAGCAAAGGCCTGCGGGTACGTTAACATTTCCGCGAAGCAAGCAATGCTTATGGAAACTATTTCATGCAAAGCAAATTGCGAATTTTTTTATTTAGAAAAAAAATAAACAGAACCAAAATAGAAGAAAATGAAGAGCAGAGATTGTAGAGGAGTCGGAGGCCAAACAAGGCAGAGAATCTGTAGAAAGAAGAGCTCAGATGATATCTTTAAAATGGACAGTCAAGAACACCGACAGAACCAGGCACTGCAAACAAAAGGTTGGCTCCCGAAAAATTGAGTAATTTTCCTATGTCTGAACTTTTCAGGCTGCGCTGAATCGTCATAGCCTCGCCAGTCGCCAGATGCGACCCACCCGCCTCTCACTGAGAGCAAAGCCTCGTACACTTAAATCATTCACCAGCAATCTTAACAAAATTCATGCAAAAGCAATTGCGAATTTTTTTTGGAAAAATGTACAAAATCAAGTGCGAGCAAGAAAAGGAACTGAAGTTGAAGTACCTGTTATCTTAATCTTTTTTTATGGCTAGCCAGATACAAGCCATCAGGAAAACAGTAAAAATACAAGAGCAAGCAGGCAGCCATTACTTGTCAAAATATAAGTTGGTGGATATAGGCCAGAACAGCAGAGAAATCTGTAGAAAGACAAGGCCCCAACAGAAACAGAGAAATCTGTAGAAAGAGAAGGCTCAGAACAGATATGCTTTCAAATCGGACAGGACAGAAACACCACAACACCAGGGCTGCAACAACAAAAGGCTGCCTCGCCAAGAAATTGAGTATTTCTCCTCCAGTCTGACTTTTCAGGCTCACTGAATATATCATCATAGCCTCGCCGGTCCCAGACAGCCACTCACACACACAAGAGAAAGAAGATATACTGGTATAAGGGCCTTGTTGCCAACATTAAGTAAACGTATTAGTACCCTGGCTCCGCTACGTAATCAGAGAGGACTTGAGTCAACCACGTGACTGAGAACCATCTTCTCTTACTGAATGAGCAGAAGTCCAATTCACATAAAATATTCCATGCATAAAGCAATTGCGAATTTATTAGTTTAAAAAAAAATACAGAACAAAATGCGAAGATATGAGAGCAAGAGATTATAAGGGATAGAGGAAAAACAGATAACATGAGAAATCTGGTTTGAAATGAGATGGCTCAGATTAGGTATGCTTCAAATCGGACAGACAAGAAAACACACAACATCCAGGGCTGCAACACCTAAAAGGTTGCCTGCCGCAAAGAAATTTGAGTATTCTCCTGATGTCTGACTTTTTTAGGCTCACTGAATTATTACTCATAGCCTGCAGTCGCCATGACATGCCACTCACAAGCACGAGGATAGAACAGCAGATATCATTGGTATATAGGCTGTTGGCAAACATAATGAGAAGCGCAATCAGTAGTCCGGCTCGTATCCTAGCCAGAGAGGACTGAGTAACCACCCTGAAGACCAACCGCCTCTCAGTGAGATGCAAAGCCCGTACTTAATCCGTTCGGTCAAATAATCTTAAGTCAAGATAATTTCCTGCAAAACAATATGTGCGATTTATTTTAGAAAAAAAATACAGAAAAAAAAATGTAAAGAAAATAAGAGCGAGAGATTGTAGAGTATGGGAGGCCAACGATATCAGAGAAATCTTAGTAAGAACGTGAAGCTCAGAATCAGATAAGCTTCAAAATCGAACAGGACAGGAAAACCACAACACAGAGCTGAACACAAAAGGTTGCTAGCAAGACATTGGAGTATTTCTCCTCAGAGTCCTGACTTTTCAGGCTCACTGAATACATCATAGTCCTCCCAGTCGCCATACAAGCCATCAACACACACGAGGAAGAGAACGACATATTGGTATATAGGTTTGTGGAAACAGAAGAAACGTAATCGTAGTTCACGGCTCTGCTACTATCAGAAAGGATGAGTGAACCACACTCAAACAATGAAGTTCATGCATAGCCTCTCCAGTCGCCTACAGTGCACTCACTAACCACGAGGAAGAGAACAGAATATTGGTAATAAAGGTTTTGTTGGCAACGATAAATAGGTAATCATAGTTCCCTGGCTCTGTACCTATCAGAGAGGACTGGGAGTGCCACCTACAAACTGCCTCTCACTTGAGGCAAAGCTACTGGTATTGAACCATTCACGACAAGCGAATTTATGGTATAACATATTTTCATGCAAAAGCAATGCGAATTTTTTTATTTTAGAAAAAAAATAAAGTAACCAGAAAATAAAGAAGAAATGAAGAGCGAGAGATTGTAAGAGGCTGGAGGCCCAAAAGAGCAGAGAAATCTGTAGAAAGAGAAGCTCAGATTCAGATAGCTGTCAAATCGGACAGCACAGAAACACACAACACCAGGGGCTTGCAAACAACAAAAGGTTGCCTCCCGGAAAATTGAGTATTTCTCTCATGTTGACTTTTTTCAGTGCTCGCTGATCGTCAATATAGCTCGAGTCGCAGTATAGCTACTCACACACACCAGGCAAGGAGAGCAGAGATAGTGGTATAAGAGCTTGTTTGATACATAAGAAACGTAATCAGTAAGTGACCAGGGCTCGCATACTATCAGAGAGTTCCGAGTGAACACCCTGAACCAATTGCCCTCCTCACTGAGAGCAATAGCTCGTACTTAAAAACATCACACAGCAATATTTATATGGTAAACATAATTTTCATTGCAAAAGCAATTGCGAAATTTTTATTTTTAAGAAAAAAAAAAGAACAACTACAAAACTGTATAGAAATATCAAGAGGAGAAGACTTAGATGGATAGAGGCCCAAAACAGAAATAGAGAAATCTATAGAAAGAGATGTCAGATCAGATATGTCCTTCAAATGGACATCAACCCGGGCTGCAAACAACAAAGGTTGCCTCGCCAAAGTGAGTTATTTCTCTCGGAGTCTGAACTTTTCAGGCTCACTGATTTACATCATTAGCCTCGCCAGTAACAAGACAGCACTCTCACCCAAAGAAAAGAAAGAAGATATACTGGTATAAGGGCTGTTGCCAACATAAGAACGTAATTAGAGTCACCGCTCCGCTACCCTATCAGAGAGGATGAGTCCAAGCCACACGAACCATCTGTCTCTCACTTGAGAGAAGCCCATTCACATAAACAATCCATGCAAAAGCAATTGCGAATTTATTAAAAAAAAAAAAAACAACATAACAAAACTGTAAGAAAACGAAGAGCGAGAGACTGTAGAGGATAGAGGCCCAAACAGAAACAGAGAAATCTATAGAAAGAGATGGCTCAGATCAGATATGTCTTCAAATGGGACACAACCCCAGGGCTGCAACAACAAAAGGTTGCCTCGCCAAAAAGTTGAGTATTTCTCTTCGAGTCTGACTTTTCAGGCTCACTGGATATATCATCATAGCCTCGCCAGTACCAGACAGCCACTCTCACACACACTAGAAAGAAAGAAGATATACTGGTATAAGGGCTGTTGCCAACATAAGAAATCATGTAGTCACCGGCTCGCTACCTATCAGATGAGGGTCTTGTATGTTTCACACTGAACACAAATCTGTCCTCACTGAGAGAAAGCCCTCATTTCACATAAACATATTCCATGCAAAATGGTCAATTGCCGAATTTATATTTAAAAAAAATCATCGAAGAAAATGAAGAGCAAGAGATTATAGGGGATAGAGGAACAAACAGAAACAGAGAAATCTGTTGAAAGAGATGGCTCAGATCAGGTATGCCTTCAAATCGGACAGGACAGAAACACCACAACACCAGGGCTGCAACACCAAAAAATTGAGTATTTCTCCCTGAGTCTGACTTTTCAGACTCACTGAATTTATCATCATAGCCTCAGCAATCGCCAGACAGCCACTCACACGCACGAGGCACGCACGAGGAAGACAGCAGATATATTGGCATAAGGGCTGTTGGCAACATAAGAAACGCATCAGTAGTCACCGGCTCCGCTACCTACCAGAGAGGACTGAGTCAACCACCCTGAAACCATCCCCCTCTCACTGAGAGCAAAGCCTCGTACTTAAACCGTTCGCTCAAAAATCTTAAGGTAAACATATTTCATACAAAAACAATTGCGAATTTTATTTTAGAAAAAAAAAATAACAGAACAAAATTGTAAGAAAATGAAGAGCAAGAGATTGTAGAGGATAGAGGCCCAAATAGAAACAGAGAAATCTGTAGAAAGTGAAGCTCATATCAGATAAGCCTTCAAATAGAACAGGACAGAAACACCACAACACCAGAGCTGCAACATCAAAAGGTTGCCTCGCCAAGACATTGAGTATTTCTCTTCGAATCTGACTTTTCAGGCTCACTGAATCATCATAGCCTCCCCAGTTGCCAGACAGCCACTCACACACACGAGGAAGAGAACAGATATATTGGTATAAGGGTTGTTGGCAACAGAAGAAACGTAATCAGCAGTCACCGGCTCCGCTACCTATCAGAGAGGACTGAGTGAAACACCCTCAAAACAACTGCCTCTCACTTAGAGCAAAGCCTGGTACTTAAACCATTCACACAAGCAATCTTATGGTAAACATATTTCATGCAAAAGCAATTGCGAATTTTTTATTTTAGAAAAAAAAAATAACAGAACCAAAATAGAAGAAAATGAAGAGCGAGAGATAAAATGAAAGAGCGAGAGATTGGTTAGAGGATGAGGCCCAAACAGAAGCAGAGAAATTCTGTAGAAAGAGAAGCTCAGATTAGATAATGCTTCGGACAGCACAGAAACACCACAACACCAGGACTGCAACAACAAAAGGTTGCCTCCCCGAAAAATTGAGTATTTCTCCTCATGTCTGACTTTTCAGGCTCGCTGAATCGTCATAGCCTCGCCAGTCGCCAGATAGCGACCCACACACACCAGGAAGAGAGCAGAGATATGGTATAAGAGCTGTTTGACACATAAGAAACGTAATCAGTAGTCACAGGCTCCGCTACCTATCAGAGAGTTCTGAGTGAACCACCCTGAAACCAACTGCCCCTCACTGAGAGCAAAGCCTCGTACTTAAAACATTCACACAGCAATATTAAGGTAAACATATTTCATGCAAAAACCTATCAGAGAGTTCCGAGTGAACCACCCTGAAACCAACTGCCCCTCACTGAGAGCAAAGCCTCGTACTTAAAACATTCACACAGCAATCTTAAGGTAAACATATTTTACGCAAAAGCAATTGCGAATTTTTTATTTTAGAAAAAAAATGACAAAACAAAAATCAAAGAAAATGAAGGGCCAGAGATCGTAGAGGATGGAGGCTCAGATTCACCTTTAATCAGACAAGAAAAGGAACAAAAAGATCATGACTGCAAAAGATGGAGCTCTCTATTTGAAAAAAGAAAAAAGGTCTTTCTCAAATAAAATCTCCGTACTGCCCCGCCAACGATCAAGCTATTCCTTAATGTCTTCCTTTTGCACTCTAAAACCCAAAAATCGTCACAGCCTCTTTATAAGACGAAAGAAAGAAAGCCAGCAAAAGCAGAGAATGATGATGACGATCTATGTATCTATCTATATATATACACACACAGACAAACGGCGTTTGTGAAGGGTTCTCCTCCTATCACTCACATCATAAGCATAACAATGCCAAGTTCAAATATATATTTATATATATTATATATATTATATCACTATATATATATATATATAATATTATATATAAAAGACGACATAGCTTCTCATCCAAAATTCCCTGGTAAAACAAAAAATAACGATTAGAATGAAAAGGAAATAAAAATTTAGAAATGTTCAGCAATCTAGTGAAAATTAAGTTATCACAATCCAATTCATTTCAGAATCAAAATCCTTTTATTTCATTTCTTTATGGTCTTTCACATTCAATATGGTCTTAGCAAACTTGTTCCGTTACAACTAAATGCAAGCCTCACCTAGTTTGATATATATATATAAACGACATAGCTTCTCATCCAATTCCCTGGTAAAACAAATAATAAATAAAAAATAAAAATAGAAGTTCAGAATCAGGAAATAGTTACACAATCCATTTCATTCAGAATCAAAATCCTTTATTCATTCCTATGGCTTCACATCAAGGCAGCAAACTGTTCCGTTACAACTAATGCAAGCTCAACCAGTTGAACCAGAACAACTTAATTAGCCTAACCTGCAGTGATGGAATTTTATGAGATGTCGGCTGGAGCAAGCACATCTACCAAAGTCATCCTTCTAGGGAACCTCGGAGGCAGTCTCAAATACATAGCATCTCAATTGGCAAAGGCGTTGCAACAAACACAATCCCTCCCTTCTTTCTATGCTCTGCAATAATGTATTCGAGCATTACCCCTTCTTCATCTAATGCGACAGAAGGCTCATCCAGTAACCAAATTGGTCGGTCAATGGCCAGTAGTCTTCCAAGTTGCAGCCTCTCCCGTTGGCCCATTGACAGCATTCTTGCCTTCTCTTTTGCCAATCTTACGAGCCCCATCAACTCAATAGCAGGCATAGAATTTCCTTGCTTGCCTTCAAGAATCTCAAACCATTGAACATTGTCAAGGACAGTAAACTTTTATTTGATGGCATCTTTCAAGGAGAGCCAATTATAAACTTTTCTTTGATGCATCTTTCAAGGAGAGCCAATTACGTTGATGCTTATATTGGTGAAAAACTCCAGATTCTGTCACATCATGACCGTTACAGAGGATCTGACCTGCAGAAGGCTTAGAAAATCCAGCCAGCATACTTAAGAAGGTGGATGAAGAAAATAGGGAGAAGACGCATAGTACATCGGATTAAAAGGAGTAGAACGATTCAAAGAATTCAAAGGATTAGTCATTTGATAGAAATCCTAGAATGTGAATTTTGAGAAAAAAAAAATAGAACAAACAACGAAACTGACAATCTGACTCGAAACTGAGCACAATTAACTCAACTAAACATGAAAATCCCAAAATGAACCCTAGAAGAAAAAGAATAGGAACTGATTTTAGGATGAAAAAAACGAACTATGCTTTTAAAGCAAATATAATGGCAAGAGAAGATGATTATAAAGAACAGCTACCACAAATCCCCAAATTTTGACCTAAGATTATAAATCGAAGAAGAAACCACATTACGAGGGAAGAAAAACAATTACCAGAGGAAAAAGGATGAGCAATCTTTACTGTAACTTGAACCAGCCATCACAATAGGATGAAATCAACTCAATTATGCCCAAATCAGTATGAAATCAACAAGAACTAACGTAGAAAGCGAGAGAAAATGAGCGAAAGCCAAGAGAAAGAACAAAAACAAAAAAAAAAAAAAAAAAACGAGAATAATGAGCTGAAAGTCATAGGAGAAAGAACAAAAAACAATAAAAAAAAAAATAAAAATAAAAAAAGAGAGAGGGAAGAGAGAGATTGAGACTGGTAACCGTGTCCTATTTGGCTTTTGTAAAAAAAAAAAAAAAAAAAAAAAAGAGAGAGAGAGAGAGAGAGAGGAGGTAACCGTTGCTTTTGGCCTTTTGTGAGAGAGAATTTAATACAACGGTCAAAAATAAAACATTACATTTAAAATGAGCTTAACAAACTAAGCTAAACTTTGTGCGTTCTTCTTTGCTGTAATGCTTGATGCTTTGGGATTAGAGACCTCAAGTTTTATTATTTTTGAGACTTGGAAGTTGTTCCCCCTCACATTTTTCAATATGCAAAAGTAGCTCTCAAAGTAAGCTATAAATAATAGAAATATTTTTGTAGGCTTTCAATATGAAATGTGAAGGAACTGATGATCAATTTATACTAAATCACCAAAACGTCTGTTCAACTGCATTCAATCAAATGATTATCAGATTTCACCAATTATTTACATATGTCACTAATCACTAAATCAAATATCAAAGAGTTAATAAAATAGAATAATTTCAAAAATTAAAACAGTAAAATTTGGACGTGTTATACTCTGACAGATAAAATAGGTATTTAGATTTTTATAATGTCCAAGATAGAACCTTTTTTATTTAAAAATTGAATCAAATAAAAAAAATTAATACTTAATTAAATTTGAAATTGAACAATTTTATTTTGCATTAAGTCGAATTGAATCAAACCAATCAATGTGATTTAACTTTTAGACTAAATGAATTTAATTTTGAATTTTTTTGAAAATTGAATGAAATTACCAAAAAAAAAAATCTAATCTATAACCAAAACAACAAAAAATTTCTTAATTCTTATTTTATATATATATATTATATATAATATATATATGTATCCTCTAAAGCCACACAATAAATAAAAAATAAAAAAAAAAAAAAACTCTTATAAAGCTAAGTTTCTTGATTTATTTTAATACTTTTTTGAATTATGTTTTCTTTTTTCTTTTTACAAATTAATTCTAATATTAAAGTAGATAAAATCCTTATAAAGTTAAATCCCAATTTTGATAATCTAGTTAAATTAATTTTTGAATAAATTTAATTCTTATTTCTCTATATTCAATTCAAACTATTCTTCCTTTTTTGATTTAATAGGGGATCTATGTATTAACTTAAATATCTCTAGTATTGTATTCAGATTTTACTTCGTTTCCTTTGCTTTTTTTCAAACTCTATAAAGCTAAGTTTTCTGATATTTTAATAACTTTTTGAATGTTTTCTTTTTTCTTTTACAAATTTAATCTAATATTAAGTAGATAAAATCTAAGTTAAATCAATTTTGAAATCTAAGTTAAATTTAATTTTGAAATTTAATCTTATTCCTTATTATCAATCAACTATTCTCCTTTTGATTTTTATAGACTATGTATACTTAATTCTCTGTATTGTATTCAGATACTTCTTTCTTGCTTTTTTCTGTATTTAATGCTCTTGTACTTCTTTTTTTTATTTTTATCAAGGATTCAATTTATATTATTATTAGAATATAAGTTATTCATAAATCAACTAAATTTGTAAAGGGTTTCACATAAATCAACTAAATCTGTAAAGGGTTTCACAGGGAAACTTAAACTTTTGAGTGAATGTTTAATTCGGTTGGTTTTTAAAAATCTTTGTACCAAAATCTTATAGAAGAATGACTCCGTATAGATCAACAACCATTAGATTTTTATTTTTTTTATCTCTTATAATATTTATTTGTACAATTGGTAGACTTATTGTTGAATAGTATATTTTATTTTTTAGACACTATTTTTGATTTTTATTTTTTCTTTTATGTATTTATTTCTACAACTGGTAGAATTATTATTGAATTGCATATTTTATTTTTTAGACACCATTATCATTTAGTGTAAAATAAAATTTAAACTTTGTTCGTTATATGATATATTATCTATATCGATAGCTAATAGAGTAGTTAAATCCCAATATAAATTATCGTGATAACAATAATATAAAACTGACCAATAAAATATAATATTTGTACATTTAATTTTTAGGATTATCATTGAAATTCAAATAATTACCTCTTTAATTTATTGATATTTTAATATTTAAAGTTATAAACTTTTTTAAACGTGGAATTAAATTGACATTTTTGTAATTCAAAATATTAATTGTTAAAAGTTATATAGATTATGAAATAATATAGATGCATTAAAAATAATTTATAAATTATAAATAAATTATAAACTATAAAATATAATATATATCAATAAAACAATCAACGCAGTGTGCGGACCTAATTTTTTTTCTAAAAGTAAACCAATTTTTTTAAAAAAAAATTATACTAAACCAAATTAAAATAATGATTTAATTTGAATTGATTGATTTTAGAGTATTAGCCTCAACCCGACTGATAAATATTTTTAGTTTGTATGATTTTTCTTTAATCTAATTGTCAGAAAAGAATTGTTTGAATACACGCTAAGTTGATTTGAAAATGATTTTAATAATGAACAAGGAAAAAAAATTCTATTTATTTTTATTTTTGAAAGAGGGAGCATAATTTATTGATAAAAATTCAGTCAATTTAAACAGAAATCACAATATCATTTCGTAAGGATGAGCCCTCGGCCGAACCAGGAACAACTCATTGGGTTTCAAGTAGGGATTCATGTTGCCCATGAAAACAAAACTTCAGGCCTAACTAAAGCCACCTCAATTGTACAGGCTTATTTTCTCGAGCCTTTTTTAGGATAAGCTGGAGTGAAGCTTAATTTTTTTAAGGCCAACTTAAATTTCCCCAATTTTAAGTACCTAAATGATTTAGGATCCGTTCGACAAAATTAACTATTAGATGTTTGAGTAGTTTCTCATAATACGGTAAAAGCTAAACGTTATATAAATTAATTTTTTTATAAAATGCTAAATTAACTTCTAAAAATTAATTCAAATGCTATATTACCGAATACGATACAAAATTTTACAGTTAAGTGACCCAATTTGATCATATTCAGAAAGGGTAAAATTCAAATCTTTTGAAGATGGAGCAGGTATATATCTATATTAATCCGATCTCAATCTACTTGAACTCGATTCGATTAGTTATAAAATTTGATTCGAACTTGAATCTAATTCGATGTAATATAAGCAAATATCTGATAGAAATAGCATGATGATCTCTGTTTTGAATATCTACTTGTTATATTTTATTTGCACAATTTATTCCTTGTCTAGTTTTTAAGATCCTCCTTGTGTTATTTGTACTAGTATAGAATTGGTCAATGGAATTTTAATATATTGTCTTTAAGAAAATGATTTATTCTCATCATCACATACATGCCAAATACATTTAATTATTTTTTAAAAAAGAAGTTCATAAACAAGAAGAAAAATATTCATAATTTTATCATTACACGGTGTGATGAATATTATAGTCAAATTAGTTATTTTTCAAGTTCCCAGGAAAAGGAAAAAGCAAGAAGTCTCAAAGCAAAAAAGGAAAAAAAAAAAAGAAAAAAAAAAAAAAAAAAAAGAAGAAGCCATATTTAAGAGAAGCCAAAGAAAAAGAAAAAATAAAAACTAAAATGAATATACATGGAAAAAAAAAAAAAAAAAAAAAAAAAAAAAAAGAAGAAGCCATATGTAAGAGAAGCAAAAGAAAAAGAAAAATAAAACTAAAAATGAATATTTACATGGAAAGGTCCTAACCAATTATAGGTTGGAAAAACTTACGAAAATAAATGTATTGAACAAGTTCTATGGAGGGGTGACGCTTTCAAATGGGTTGCAGCCTCTAATCTTGACCTCTACCACTTCATTTTCTCTGTTGATTATCTCACAACACTGTCTACGTGGCGCCTGTTCATTCGATCATTAAATTTTCCAAAAGTGTTAGGCCACTAATTAATCACCAACACTTCAAATTACAATATTTTCTTATATTCTAACAGCAGGCAAGTATTATATTCAAAACCTTATCAGGGCACAAATTGCGCATAAAACTGTTTGTATGAAACAGAAAATTATAAATCCTGCCAATATGGCTTCGTGGCTGAACACCATTGTCCACGTTCTTATTTCTTGACTTTCAGAAGGTCAAAGTTAATGATTCATGGACAGGCAACCAAAGCCAGCCATGCACGTCGGACAAATAATCATACCAACAATCCCGAAAAGGGAATTTCTATACTAACATAAAAAAATTAGAAATTATATGTTTATGGAAATTAATTCACACTTTTAGACCAGCATGGTATTCAGAAAATTTTCCCTTAGTGCTGGTGAATCGGAAATAATATTTAAGTAAAAATCTTTTAATACTAACGACTCTAAATTTTAAATTCTTAATAAAATTTACTTCGTATTAATTTAGATATAGAATTAGAATAAATTTTGAATTTTATAGGTAGAATTTGGTACATTTAAAAAAATTGTAAGTCTAATTTTGAGGTGAGAATGACTTATTTAAAGTGGTTTATAGATCAAATCAATGAATTTTTTTTTAGAAATGATGTCTATTAAAAAAAATTCAATGGGAATAATTTTTATAAAATTTTTAGTTGGATAAGTTTTTTCTTTTTTTTTTTTTAATTTTTCAACCTACTATGTGGCTGCATGGGTCCAACGAATCTTTTTCTTTTGGGAGAAAACTACCATTTGGATTTGCTAATTCACTACGCTAAAGTTGCAAAGTCCATTTGATATTTGACATTTTCGTCAGAGTTTAGAAGAAAATTAGTGGAAAAAGAGACAAAACGAAGCAAAAGTTAGCTCACCATATTCCAAATGTCAGGCTTCAATGTAGAACTTGTCACATTGACAAACTGGACGGCCTCAATAACACCATATTCGGGTCGGTCACAACTCATATCTGCCGGCTCCACGTGTCTTCGATACACAGTCAAAGTCTTGCTCCGCCCAACCCTCTCTATCCGATCCAAGAAATACACAACCGGTCTCTCACACGGGTCTTGACTTATGGGTCGGGTGTTAAACGTGTAAGGCTCATTGCTCCAAGTCCGCCATGTCTGAAACGTTCTAAACGCCATCTCCAGCTGCTTCGCCATTACTAGTGATGGATACAGTTGTATAGTATAGCCCCATGACACGGATACTGACCAGTTACGGTTGAAATCGTGACAGAAACTGTGTTGTAGGGTCCGACCCGGATCCATTTCATATGGTTTTACTAATTTTTTGAGAGAGTCGATCTGCGTCATGCCCGGAAATATTGGCTGCACGTAGTCAAGGTGGTGGAGCGAGATTAATGGCGCGAGTGGATGCGCTGCAAGTAAACCGTATGGGCTCCCTCTTATATCAACCTGAAATTCAAGAACCACTCTTACATGTCAAAAGAAACAAAAAGAAAAAAAGATCTGTAACTAATAACAATAAAAGTGGAAAGCTTTAGATTTTACTAAAAACGAAAGCCAACATTCAAAGATTCTACTAACTAATTGACTACTTGTATCCCAACACAATCTTCACTTCTATATCCATTTTATAACAATTAGAAGAAAAAAAAAATAATCACAGGGTCAAGTTGTGGAGTTCATATCTTGAAGAAAGCTTTTAATATAATCGCTCTCGATATTAATTATATTACAAAAATAAGAAAAGTGTAAAGAAGGGACCTGGTGGAAGCCAAGCTCTTTGGTAAGAGGAACTCCAATTTCACTAATACAAGCTTGGACTTTCTGATCAGAGCCATAAAATGTATCATATCTATCAAGACAACCATCCAAAATCTTAACAAGTTCTTCTGCTAAAGGATAAGAAATAGCAAAACCACCACCACCATAAGCCATTGTATACGAATGAATCACATTTTGCTCCACACTCTCTGAATTTCCACCAATATAATACATCTGATTATGATCATATTTTCCTAAAATCATTACTAAATTCTCCAGGAAAAATACTGTATCATCATCTCCCATAACGAACCACCTTACGTTATCCAATCCCAATTCAAAGCTCTCCTTGACAATCCGTGCAATGTGTAATGCAGAGCGAGAACCATAAGAGCAACTGTACTTAAACCTTGAAGTATCCTCCGATACTTTATAAGCCGGAGAGGTTTCCGGCCACGTTTCCGTCTCCGATGGCTTCTCTTCAAGCCAAACATATCCTCTGGTTACATTGGGCTTCCACCATAGTTCACAGTATCGTCGCCGGTCATTCCATGTTTTTGCAGAGCCTCCAATACCGAATAAAATATGAGATATATTTGTCTTTTCTACATCGCCCATAGAATAATTATAATTACTATTCTTGGTTACCTTCCGGTGACCGGAGAGTGAAACGCGATCGCATTCAGCACAAGATAGATATCGAGATTGGGCAGAGAAAGCAGAGTAGGAAATAAAAGAGATTGAAACGACAGTGAAAATAAGAAGAGTTGCTTTTACGAGTAAGGAGAAGATATCAGTGGCTTTGACGGTAGGGAAAACCAGGAATTTCCACGCTTTGAAAGGGTCGTGAATAGTTTGTCGAGGAGAAGACATCTTTCGTTCTTGCTTTTGATAAAGGAAAGGAAAGGAAAGAGAAGGAAATGATTTTGCAGTGATAGAGAAAGAGAAAGAGAGACTCTTTGAATTCTGTAAAGTGGAAAGAAGAAGAGCAACAGCTCTAGTTTTTATCAGCAGAAGGAAAAATCGATGTCTTGTGGCTTTAACTGAAAGAAAAATTTCGGCTTTTTCTATACAAATGAGAAGTAAGTATTTAACCGCTATATGCGGGGACTAATTCGTCAAAATTTATAAGAATATACCTAACAAATCTTCTAACAATATTCTCTCTGGTTTCAATTTCCTTTTTCATTTCTCTCATATTATAATTTTCGCCATTTCCATAAAAGGTAATATATGTGATTTTCTCTATTCTATTCTTATATATATATATATATATATTAGAATTTATTGTTTTTATTTCATATTTTATTATAAAAATTATAATATATATGTAAGCAAAATGAACGAGTATTATAAATAAAAATTATGGAAATGGCACACAAAAACAATAATTATCTTATAGCCAAAGGAAAAAAAAATTTATGGTATTTTTTTCCTATACGAATTTTATATATATATTGGTAATATGTAATAAAATGGTAATTGAAATATTTTTAGTTGAATTATGATTTTAATTTCTAAATCATTCAAGATTTAGATATTTCTCATTAAAGTCATATATTCTATTAAAGGAAGTGCATCAATATATCTTAAAAAAAAAAGTGCATCAATAAAATTAAATAATAAGTACTGATTTTTTTAATTGAATTATTTTTATTATTATTTTTAAATTATCTCCTATAAAAGTTAGTTGATATATGCCGGCTATAATATCAATTTATCATTTATTATTTTATTATTTCATTATTTTATTGATAGTTTAATTTGAACGATTTTTAGTGACTTAAGTTAATATAAAATAATTAATTAACTTTTATGCAATAAGATAGTTTTCTAATATCTTCTAGAAAACGATATATAGTTTACTAATTAATATTAGAAAGCAAAAATATTAATTTGACATAATAAATATTAATTCTAGTTTAGTTAAAATATTAATAATAAATATTAGTCTTTTATTTTGGATTTAAGTAAGAAATCAATATAACCAATCAAATTAAAGATTTTTTATAAATAGTAATTTTTTTATTTTACTTATGAGCCAACCAAAATAGAGGGCAATTTATCATTGTTAGATTTAATTATTTTTTTTGTCCATTGTAATGTTACACTTGTTATTATTATGTTTATATATATAGACTTAATAGTTATAATTATCAATATATTATAAATGAAATAAAATAAATCTAAATTATATAAACTCAATCTTTTGAAAGCTTTTAATATGTAGACAAGTAAATCAGAATTTTTCTGAAAATTAAAAAATAAAATAATATAATATAAATCACAAAAATAAAAAATAAAAAAAAACTTAGAAGATAAAGTAATATATAAAGATACAAAGCAAACACATAAATACAAAATAAAATTTTTGAAGCGGTGCATATATGTACAAAAAATATTTTAAAACTTCTTATGCAATAAGAAAGTTCTTATAATTATTTTTTTTGAAAGGAAATTTTTATAATTTAATTAATATTCATTATAATAGGATTTATTTAATATGTCAATGTAAAAATCTATTTGTTATAACAAATATAATTATTCATGTGCAATAAGATAGCTTTTACTAATTATTATAATATATGTTTTAATTTTATTTATAACCATCAAATTAAAAATTATTAAAAATAATTCCTTTACTATTGTGAATTGAAAAATAATGAGAAATTAATAACATAATAGGATTAACAATAAATGTAATTGTTTTACCAAAAATATGAAAATCATTATTCCATAGTTTATAATTATTGAACACTTATGGAATATGATCGAAAATATGAAAATCATTATTCCACGGTTTATAAATTATAAATTAAGGGAGCTCCATAAATTTGGTGAGCTTCATAGTTTATAAATCATTATTCCACCATGTTTCTGGCCACCATGCACGACGGTCGGCGGTGGCAGTCCGGTGACTGGCCAGCGATACCTTTAGAGGCAGAATTTCCTCCTTCTCATGATGATCATGGTTTTGCAATCCGATTTTAATTTGGTGAGCTGTAGGTCTTTATATCATGTTTCCTCGCTACATTTAATTAGAGTTATTAAGTTAGTTTAGTTAAACTTTATTTTAGTTGATTTAGTTAATAAAGATTGACTCATATAATACAAACTAGGCGAAGGCCTCTACTTTGCGCGGGTTGTTTATAATTTATAAATACATATCAAAGACTCATTTTCCTTATGAATTTTTTTTTATTGTTGTATATTGTATTTATTAAGTTGTATTTAATATATTATTAAAAAATCTATTTTTTTCCGCAAGCTCCTTTATTAAATATCATCTTATTTGTAAAATTATTAAATTTCAAAGACTCATTTCCTTTATGAATTATTTTTTTATTGTTGTATATTGTATTTATTAAGTTGCTTTTAAATGATATTATTAAAAATTTATTTTTTCGCAAGCTCCTTTATTTAAATATCCATCTTATTTGTGAAATGATTAAAGATTATAAAATTGTAGTTGCCTATTTATTGTAAAGAATTATACCAATTCAATTTAAATGTTTAGGCTTTAGTTAAAGTTATAAAAGGTTTTAGTTAAAGTTTTTAATTCAAACAATTTATCTTATCATAAATAATTCTATACAATAAAGAAGTTTTTCAATTCAAATGGATGATATATAGATGGATATATTATTTATTTTATAATTAAATATTTAACAGTAAAATATAATTTAATTATTTATTAATATTAATTAGGCTTTTACCAAATTAAAAGTTACAGGAAGCAAGAATGCTTTTTCCTTTGGCAAAAAGATACAATAAAATTCTTTAGGGTCAAAATAATAGCAGATATTCAACACCTCCCATGATTTGTGGTTCTTGATTTCAACAACCTAATGTTTCATGGACTACCTTCCAAAGAAATGCCTAGATGAGATGAAAATCTTCCCAAAAAAGCTAGTGAAGGCCAAGAACATAAATGAAAAAAATAAAAATATGAGCTAACAATTTAAAAACTTATAATTAATTTATTTGATAATTAATAATAAATAATACAGCAACTGAGAGAGTACCTTATAAGATAGCATTAACAAATTAATTAGTGGAAAAAGAATGCATATAAATTTTTTCAATTAAGTCAATATTCATGCGAATTGCATTCAGATCAAGATGGAATAAAAAAAGCCTTCCATTTTGTTTTCTATATGCTGTTGTTTATTCGAAGAGTCCTTAAACAGAAATAATCAATTTATTAATTAGTAGAATATTCAACAATTTGAGAATGTTTAGTAATTAATTACTTGATTTCATTATATATATGGAATCAGTTGGCAAGAGACAACAAAATTATTCCAATCCAAACAGAATATTCATCATCACTTAACCAAATTAATGTAGTAATTAATTACTTGATTTCATTATATATATGGAATCAGTTGGCAAGAGACAACAAAATTATTCCAATCCAAACAGAATATTCATCATCACTTAACCAAATTAATGGAAAAAAATATTTTTAAAAAGCTACATGCACTTCATATATATCAAAATAATTGCTCACCAAAGAAAAGATTTTTTATTCACCTGTAAGTGGAAGATTGAGGAACGTAGAGAGATATATAGATCATTAGCATCCAATCCATCGCCATGAATGTTTTTTATGTTGAGTTAATTTTATTATTAATAGATAGTAGGAGTTAAATCCGAAAGCTAAGTTTTAGCTAGACTTTGTAATTCAAATAATTTGTTAGTGTAGATAATAATTCCTATGGATAATTAAAGTGATCTTAGAAAAATATTAAAATCCAATCAAATCATAAATTGTTAGTGTAGATAATAATTCTATATGGATAAAGTGACCTTAGAAAATATTAAAATCCAATCAAATTATAATAAAATGAAAAGAAAACTCAAAAATCTGTAAAAAAAGATAAATAGGAATGTTGAACGAAGAGAGTGCGTTGAACTAATTACCAATACCATCAATATTGCTATTATAATTAGAGAATCTAGTTAGTAAGTAAAGTGATAGAATTAGAGAGTTAATAATTAAGTATTATATTAAAATTATATTAGAAAAAAAAAAGAAATAAATATTAATGATTAATATTAAGAAAGATTTGAATAGATCACTTAAAACTAAGAAGCTAAAATAAGGGGATTTTTGCTAATAGCAAGTGAACTCCATTAATAATAAAATTTATTTCTAATTCTTTCCCTAGATACGATTACGAGTGCCGAGTTACCAAATGTTGGATAGCTGAACGCTTGAAATATGGAGCATAGCTTTCAGCTAAATCATAAAGCTGTGTGTAGTATTAGATAACTTATTGCCCATTGCATATGCATACATGCATACACATATAAATGTTATGCATTCATACAAGATAGATAAATGCCATCTAGGTATAAATGCATTATTTAAAGAACTGCTATTTGTGTTGCATCACTTGTTATTGTTGTGTATTGCTTGATTAGTTGTGATGTGCTATATGTATGCGTTGGTTGTGTGGAATTGGGATGAAGTAGGTCGCCGTTGGATTTGTAAGGGCGGTCTACTATACCGGCGGCCATAAATGAGGAGATCGGCGCTCCCGTGTGCATCTAATGAATTATAATATGGAAAAACACAGAGTGGCCTCCTGTTTGGTATGTAAAAGAAAAGAGAGTATAAAAAAATGAAAGGGCCGGTCAAGTGAGGTTGAGACCGGTCGACTATATATGGGGGATCGGCTCCCTGATGCACATGTGATGAGAGGATGAGTCATGTGTGAGGACGGCTCGTAGGGAATTTAGGTGACACCACTAACCAATCTCCACTTAATGTAATTATGTGAAGGTGTTAATATTTGTGATTGTTGTTGCTATGTCATTTGCATGATTGACTGTATGATTATATAACTAGTCAGATGACTAGATTAAATTAAATACGCATTGTGTAATTGTGTGGAGTGAGAATGTTATCTAATCCTATTCACTGAGTTTAGGCACTCAGCCTTGCATTAATATTCTTTTTCTAGGTTACAAGTCTTCCAATATCTCGTTGTCCTCTGTCATGAGATGTCTAGAAGATACTTCGATAAATATTTAAAATCTTAAAAGTTCTTAGATTATTCCGCAATTATAATAGTTGTGTATAATGAATTTAGAAAATTATTGATGTATTAATTATTAAAGTTTCTATTATGTAAATATTAATATGGGCCTAGAGAACTTTAGAAATTAATTTACTAGTGAATACGATGATACGGGCCAAGCAAGCCGAAGACTTATGATATCTGTCTATTAATAATATTGGCCTAAGGCCATTCGGTTAAACATATAATTTTATTTGGTATATTTTTGGCTTACTACGGGCTTCAGTGGCTTTAAGTCTACCCAAGTCCTAGTACCGATCCGACCTAAGGTAATGGGCTACGACAATATTAATCAATGCATTAGACACAAACAACTTACGTTCTAATCGACATTTTATAACCAACAAATGGATCAACTTCCCACTTATAATGTCACTTAATTGTGCACAAATAGGAAGAATACTGGCAACTGTATCAGGATCCATAGCTACCTCTTCCAATCTCATCTTACCTGCAACATCTAATGCCTCTACAACATTCCCATTCTGAGAATACCTAGAAATCATTGCATTCCATGAACCACTATCTTGAATTGACATTTCATCAAACAATTCTTGAGCAGCACCTACCAACCCAGAATGTGAATACATATGTATTAAGGAGGAAGCTACAAAAACATCCCACTCAAAGCCCTTCTTTAGAATTGAGAAATGTACCTTCTTACAATCCAGTAGAGTTCGACAAGCTTTAATTACAAGAGGAAATGTGTAAAAATCAGGAGAGAAGGAGGTTACTGACTTCTCTGACCCACTGGAACTTCATCGAATCGCAGTGTCAGCCACCATGGAGATGGAACCAACCTAGAACTATCAATCCTATACATCAAATTATTTGAAATTTCATGAAGGGTTCGATTTTTGATTATTTTTTAAATTCGAATCATAAAGGGTTCGATTTTTGATTATTTTTTAAATGTTCAACATCGATTTAGCTGAAATTTAGAAAAAAAAAAAAAATCTATTTTCAAACCTAACTTCACAAATCTCACCAATCACCACAAGAAACTAGAAATTGAAGGAGGAAATGAAGTCTAGAGAAGAAAGTGATGTTTTGAGACCTACCTAATCGATAGCCTTCACTGAAAAAGCTTAGCTTCATCGGAATTTAATGATTGTTGCTACGACGATAGTGAATCGACAAAACTTGCATTCGCAATTTCCTAAGTACCGGGAAGGAAGAGGAAGGCATCTCGTTGGCAATTAGAGGTCAGATGAGGCTTCCTTGCCTGAGATCGGTGAGAGGTAATTGGAAATGGGGAGCAAATGATAGGTAGATGTGATCGAGAGAGGGTTTGGTAAAGAGAATCTGAGTTCCTATGCCATGAGGGACTTGGGTAGATAAAGATTAATTGTCTTTTTACTCTAAAATTAATGGAAAAAGTATGATTTTTACAGAAGAACTAAATAATAGAGGGAGAAAAATTATAGGGACATTATAAATATTTTTATAAAAGTCTAGACTATTTAGATAATTATGGTAAATTTTAAAAACGAAATAATTATTTTCCTATAAATTAAATACAAAACAAGTCATGACTGTATAGATTTCGGTTACTGTCACGACCCGTTTCCATGGGCCGGACCGGCACTAGGGCCCAGGTAAGCTTAAGGCCCCCGAGGCCTGTAGTAAGCCTAAATTATCCAAGCGCTGTAGTAAGCCTAAATTACTCCAAGATGTCGTACCTTATCTTTTCCAATTATCATCAAACAGTAAACCATATTACCAAACATCTGGGCCCAAAACTAAATTAAGAACACATATGTATAACCAGGCGCCCTATTTCACAATAAATTTATAATCACGTTTGGGCTATGGCTTCACCTGCAGCTAATTAAACCTAACATTTAATTTATAGTGTTAGTGCTAAACAAATACAGTCCAATATTAATACACAACACCCTATAACTGCGAAGAGTCCAAATAATCTGAAATAGATATTTATACATCCAAAATTAAAATAACTGAATATTAAAGTTTACATTTGTAACTCTGCGGAGAAGCTTGGCAGGCTTCGTCGAATCAGCTGCTTTCCTAGTAACCTGGGTTTGTTGGCGGGGGTGAGTTTTGCAACTCAGTCGAAATAATAATAAATAATACACACCACATACAGTCAAGCTAAATTGCACCCTAACTAATACTGAATGACACACACAGTGAATCATATGAATACATCAGCACCACAAACAATATCACTTTCAATAATCACATCACGTGGAAATAGTTTAGTTGGTGTCACCTAAACCCCCGACGGAGCCGTCCTCTCAAAACATTCCCATCCTCTCAAACATGCTGCACCCGGAGCAATCCCCATATCTGGCCGGACAGGTCTACATCCCTCACTTGACCAGGTCCTCTCAATATTTATATTTACATTCTCTCTTTTCTTTTCCAATTCATCAACATATTTCAAATTCATCAGTGCACACGGGGCAGCCGATCTCCTTTACACCGGCGACGGTCATTTTCAGTTATCAGGATCCAATAGTTATACGGGGACCTCCTCACAAACCCCTTGGTGACCCACTCATCCAAACTCACACAAACAGAGACGAGTATTACGAGAGCACAATAATCAAAACAATTATTTATCAAAATACACCAATTTCATTCCAAATGCATAATATGCCATAATGTATATTATAGTGATCATAACATAATAATATATGAGAATACAATATGTTAACTAATAAAATGTCAATTTATGAAATGCAGTTGTTGACATGCATTATTATTATTACTCACTAATATGTAAATATATAAAAATGTAATGTTATGCAAATGCAGTGTTGACATGCATTATTTATTATTACTCACTGTGATGGAGAGCGAAATTCTAGCTTTCATGTTGTCCTGGAGGAGCACTAGATGGACCCGGGCGATCCCAAATATATTTTTTGTCGAATTTTTGCTAGATCGGAAATTTTCTCGTGTCGGATCGGAGAGCAGTGGCTATTGGTGGTCGGAGGCGTGCTGGAGCGGCGGCTAGGCGGTGGCGATGGCGCGACGAGCTGCGTGCGGTGGCTCTCGGTGGTCGATCGCCTCTGCTGGAGGGAAGGCGGCTGAAATTCCTGGTAGTGATGCCAAATGCAAGTGCAGGAAAGAAAGAGAAAGAAAGAAAAAGAAAGAAAAGAAAAAGAAAGAAAAGAAAGAAAGAAAGAAGAAAAGAAAGAAGGAAGAAGAAGAAGAAGAAAGAGAGGAGGCACTAGCTTGATGGTTGAGGAGTAGAGGTGCAATGCGCTGGAGGATTAAAAAAAAGGGAAAGGCAATTTTTCTAGATGGTTCTGGGTCGAACCCGATCGAATTCGGTTCGATTCGACACAATTCTTTGATTTCGATTGGTTTCGGCTTTTCAATCGGTTTTACGTTCGTTTCTTCAACGAGTGTGTTCGCATTAAAATATTGAAATAAATTTTCAGGCTGTCGGTTTATTAAATTTAATTGGAAAATCTTTGAAAATAAAAATTCGGGTTGTTTCAGTTACAATTATTAATAGAAGACTACAATAAAAACATAATTTTGATAAGAAATTTCCCATTTTTTCTTTATATAAAGAGTCTCAATCCCTCAATTCAAGCGTACATAAATAATTTTGGATTATGGCTCAATCTGTCTCTTAAACTTAGACACAATATACAATCTGTTTAAAAATTAACTTTTTGTACAATTTACCTCTTCAACTTGCACCAAAAGAACAAACAACCCAATTTTAAAAAAAAAAACATTTTTTATGGTTTTAACTAATAAAAAATTACTTAAAATTTTAAAATTAGAAAATAAAAATTATTTTAAAATATAATAATTAATTTTAAAAATATAATAATATTTTAAAATATAATAATAATTATAAAAATATACATTATTTGATTTAAAAATAATTTAACAAATATTTGATTTGTAAAGAATTATAGAATTATAAAAACATTTGATTATATTGAATATTGTATTGAAATATTGGTTAAAGGGGTTTTATACCATCACTTGAAAACAAAAGGAAAATAAATAAATATAAGCCTAATGACAAAAAACAAAACAAACTTGAGCTTTAATATTTTTATCAAATATGATATATTTTTTTTAATTTTATCAATTAATACCGTATATTAATTAATTTGTATCAATTCTAACCCCTCTCTCTCAGCCACCCGTCCAAATTAAATTGGTGTGTTCATTAACTTTTGATGAGTGGATCCCATAAGTGCTGAATTAGTGGTGACTAAACATTACACCTCATAGAAAAAAAAAAAAAAAAAAAAAAAAAAAAAGAAGCGAAAGGCACAAAACTGGGTTTTAATCAACAGCCAAAGAAGCAAGCGCCTTTTCAAAAAAAAAAAAAAAAAAAAGCAAGCAAAGGCACAAAGCTGGGTTTATCAACAGCCAAAAGCAAGCGCCCTTTTCAATGACTTCTTCTTCATTACTGGCACTGGGACTGCTGCTAGCACCTCAACCGTTTTCTCCACCTTCTTATCTACCACCGTTACAGGATCCTAATTTACAAAACAATATCACATAACTATTTAAATACTCAGATTTACAAAACAAAATTGCAGAAACAATCAACCTTTCTTCTTTCAAACAAATATAATATCCTTATTTAGTTTTTATCAGTCCGATTCATTCAATTATCATCATCGAGATCAAACGCTGAAGTCGTGTGAGGATGCTTGCCAGTGAAGAAGAAACAATAATGGGAAGAGAAATTGGGATTTCCAAACTAAAAAAAAAAGGAGATAAAAAGAAAACAAACTAGGATATTTTTAGATTTTTTATTTATTTATAACAACCTTGACATTAGCAAAATTGAACATTTCTCAATTTTCTATTCTTTTTATGCAAACTGTCATGATATCTAACTGCTAATTATTTGTTGACAGGTATGTTAAAGTTGGAGATGTAATGGTTTTGAAGGATCTTGCAAAATCAGACAACTCTATCAGAAGATTAGTTGCAGTTAAAGGGTACGAAATGGTGTCTCTTGATGAAAAGGATGAACCTTTTGTTCTTGAGAAGGACGAGTGGGGTTTTGACTGTTGTTTTCGTTGCTGCGGCGACAGGGGACGAGACATGGTCTCCGAACTTGCTTTGGGGCGTAATCAGTAACCGTAGCTTGTGCCTGAGGATTCATTTGCCATCTTGTACCGATTGTTTAGTGACTGAAAAGCTCCTTTTGTTGACCACGATGAATGGCATCTGTTCCTCTTTTAGTGGTTGCGTTTGATGTTAATAGAAATTAAAATAATAAAAATCCACCCCTAATTTGAAACTGCATCATTCAAGTTTTTTTTTTTTTTTTTTCCTTTTAAATTCACATGTAAATATGACTTGGCAGTAACACGGCATCTCATGGGCTCCACTTTTATAACATAATAGCCACATCAATACAAATTGGATAGATGATAAACGAAAATTAGTATTAATATAGAAAAACAAGTATGCGGCACTGATAATAAATTTTAGGAAGTTACTGTTTGTTTGGAAAGTTATTATCTATGTTAAATATATTTATTATTTTATGGCTATATATACTATTTTCATTAAAAAAAAATTGACGATATGTAATATATATTTGTTTGTGTAATTATATGATGTTTCATAACTATATTATTTTTATATATTTTTTAATCAAGTTTTATTTCTTAATCTTTACACTTAGCATAAAATCGCAAATGAAATTTCGCCTTTTATAAAAAAATTCTGACTCAATCGCTGGATATAAATAGGTAATTCAAATTCACAGGTATCCATGCAATTCCATCCCAATACCTTGCAACAAAAAGAAAAATACTGCAGCAATTTTAAATTTATATATATGGGTTCAAACTCGTGTTCATATGAGATATATGTGTAATTATAATTTCCAAAAATATTTAGTGGAACGGGTAAGGTCCATCGTTTGCGCGTTTAATGTCCGGTCCATGTTTTTAAGCATGGCGTTTCTCCAAGTTCCTTGAGTTAGAGCTTTGGGCCGCAAAAGTGTTACAATTTTTTCCCTATTGAAACGCAGACCCGTCTACTGTGTCAAATCGAACCGAATTGAAATTAAAATTTGTCAATTTCGATTCTCTAATTCTGAGAATCAAGATTAAACCTACCAGTTCCAATTGGTTCAAATTGAAGGTGACTCGTAATCATTTCCACAGACTCATGAGGTATTGATTAACCATTAAATTAAGTGATGTGTACATGAACACATTTTAGGACTGGCTTACTAAATATCTAATTATGTTTTTAATTATATTTCATGTGATATGTATTTTGTTTGTTTTCTTTGTGTTTGTTTTTTATATGTGTTTTAGCTTGATTTCTATTATTTAGGTGTTAAATGAGTCGAACAGAATAATAATTTAATTGAAAAATTTAGAGTTCACTAGTTCCAATATTTATAATTTCCACTATTAATTTTACATATGGTCATGCACAGATTAAAACCGTTTGAAACTTAAAAAATAAAGAAAAAAAATTTGTGGAACTAGTTGAAAGTGACTATTAATAATGTCACGACCCGTTTTCGTGGGCCGGATCGGCACTAGAGCCCAGGTAAGCTTAAGGCCCCCTAGGCCCGTAGTAAGCCTAAATTATCCAATCTGTCTACCTATCTTGCCCCATTTAATTCATCAAAACAGTAAGCCTCAATCTACACATAATATCTAACCAGGACCTATTCACAATAAATTATAATCACATTATGGGCTTACTGGTTCACCTGCAGCTAATTACATAATATTTAATTTAGCTTTCAACTACACATGAATTAGGTCTATAGCACAGACCATTCACAATAAAATTATAATCACATTAGGCTTACGTGGGTGTCAGCTCTGTCTTTATCTAAGTTACAGATAATATTTAATTATAGTGTAGTGTTAACAAATAAGTCCAATAGTAATACACAAGCTAAACTGCGGAGTTCAAGATAATAAATCTAATTAATAGAGTAACTTATAACATCCAAAATAAATAATAGAAATTAAAGTTTACATGTATAGCTCTGCGGAGTCCTCCCACATGGCCCATCCACTCACATGTGCACTAGGGAGCCAATCCCCCATTCTGGCTGACCGGTATAATCCTCACACTACCGGTCCTCTCATTATTTTGCCAGTCTCTCTCTCTCTTTTTTTTCTCTTTTTTTTTATATCATCAGGAGGCAACCCGGTCATCTCCTTCAAATCTAGATCATCAGGCGCGCACAACAGGAGGCCACCCTGCGGGTTGCGATCAAATCTAGATTATTAGGTGCGCCCAATAAAGAAGCCAACCTGTGATTTCAGTATAATCCTTCTTTTTTTTTTTATACCAACAGGAGGCAACCCGGTCGTCTCCATCAAATCTAGATCATCAGGCTCACACAACAGGTGGCCACCCTGCGGGCTGCGAGCTGTCTCCATCAAATCTAGATCTTCAAGCGCTCACAACAGGAGGCCACCCTGTGGGCTGCGATCAGATCTAGATTATCGGGTGCGCCCAATAAAGAAGCCAACTTGTAATTTTTCATATCACACAAATCATAGCGATAGGTGCACACGGGGGCACCGATCTCCCGTTTACCGGGCCAAATTTCATATTATATTCAGGATCCATATCACATTTACCATTCTCCCAAACCCATGGTGACCCACTTCATCCCAATTCCACACAAACAAATCACAGCATAGCCACAACACAAATAATCAGACAATTCATTCATCATAAACACCAATTTCATCCAAATGCACAATTATATATAAGTATAATTATAGTGATCGTAACATGATAAAATACTTATAATATATTGTAAATATATAAATAAAAAATATAATGTTATAGTTAAATTAAACTGTTATGCAAATGCGAGTATTGATAAATGCATTATTTATTATTACTCACCAGTGATGGAGAGCCGAAGTTCTAGCTTCGATTCTGTCCTGGAGGAGCACTAGGATGGACCCCGGGCGCATCTAAAGCAAAGTGAGGGAATGACATCGGAAAAAAGAATTATATTAGATAAAAATATTTATTCATCACACTACTATCTTAACCTATTTAATTTCTATCAATAATTTATCTCTATAAATAATTAAATTTTCTATAACGAATTTTATTTGCTTACCGAAAATTCATTTTATTGTCTACCGAAATTTCGCTGGCAGCATCTCCCCTAAAAATTGGACGTATCCAAAACTGTAAAATATCAACAATTTATCTTAATAACTCCAACACACAGCCCATTCCATCTGGGCAAATCAATCAAATAAAATTTTCCCATCCTCCTTCCAATCTCAACATCCCCACACAATCAAATTTAAAATTTACAATAAACATTTGATACCTAAACTACCTTTAATTCTACCCTTAATTCTATTAATTATATCATTCAAGGTTCATTAATTAAATCAACACTTAATATTATAATCTATTTAACTACTTCACCAATTACTAAATTAAATTAACTAAATTAAATATAAATCTATTAACTACTCACAATTACTAAATTAAATTAACTAAATTAATTAACTACAATAATAAAATTAATCAACTACAACAATAACATTAATTCAAATAACTAAAATTATTAAAATAAATTTTTACCCAAAAATATAATTTTTGTCGAATTTTTGCTTGATCAGGAATTTTTACGCGTGCCAGAGCGAAGGGCAGTAACTGCCAGTGGCCGGATCCAACTGACAGTGGCGGAGATAGGCGGAGACAGTGGCGATCGGCGGCTGTGGCGCACGATCTGGCGAAGGAGCGGCTGGCAGCGAGGCTTGAAGCTGGTGTTGCTGCTGTAGGCGTGACAGGCCTGGTAGAGGGCTGACTGTGGCGCGCGGAGGAGCTGTGAGACGTGCTGGCGCGCGAAGGAGGCGGTGCGACTGCAACTGGCACGCGGTGGTGATCGACTGATGTTGCTGGAGCTGCTGGCAGTGACGCAGACACAGTTGCAGGGAGAAAGGGAAAGAAAGAAAGAAAAAGGAAAGAAAGAAAGAAGAAGAAGAAGAAGAGAGGAGAGGAGTGGCGGGTCGGTGGCAGTAAAAACGGTGGTGGACTGCAGGTGGCGCCAGAAAATGGGTGGACTGCAGGTGTGAAGTTTGCGCTGGATATAGAGGGAGAGCTTCTAGAAGTGGTTTTGGGCTTGATTCGATTTCGATTTTGCGATTCGAATTCGGCCCAAAATCTGATTTTGTTTTGATTTTTTTTCGATTTTTAATTGGTTTCGATTGCGGTTTTTATCACTGTACAAATTATTAATTCACATTTTAAATATTGAAATTACATTTTCCACGCTGTCAGTTATTTAAATTTAATGAAAAAATCTTTAAAAATAAAAAATTTTGGGTTATTTCAGTTTCTTCCCCCCTTACCAAAAAAATTTGTCTCAATTTTTACAAGTAACAAGTGAGAAAACAATGCGGTGGTTATTGCCTTCTCACATATTGCCGCAATGATAAAAGTTATTACATTCACAAATTTCAGTAGAATTACTTGTTCTGCTGAGCAGCTAAAAGGATGAATCAGGAAGATGAAGATAAATATTTTTTAGACTATCTCCGAGTTCGTTAGTCAGAACTATTGGAACTAATTTTATTAAATTTTATGAGACAAAAGACAAACCAATGGGAAGAAACTTTAATTATAGGGAGGGTAGGATGATTATGAGATGAATCTAGCCCCAAAGTTACCTACCTTATTACCATAGTTAATTTAAACTTGAGTTGTACTATATCTACAAGTCGTCAAGTCAAGTCAAATATTCATAACCCAAAGCACAGATTCGACACTAATATTTACCTTTACACGTAAAAATTCTAATCACTTATAATCTCTGCTCAAGTAAGGGTTATTCTCTGCTCAAGTAAGGGTTATTAATCTCATTAGCTTTATGTCATGTGTCCTTACATTGATGTATCGTCATTTATTCTCTCACTAGCTATCATAGGCAATGATCATCACTCCATAAGAAACTCATACACCAACCCAGTATTTAATCTTACGGATATAAGAATCCACATATTCAATCAAATTTACTACTATCCCAATTTGGACTCCTTATTGCAAAATTCAAAACCTACATGCTGACTCATCCATTTTCCATCAATTCCAAATATTAATAGCATTGATCCAATAATCATGGAAGAGTTTACAATTAAATAAGATGGTTGCTACCAATTCAAGGGGTTTTCGATTATGATCAAATGCTGCCATTAAGTACTATTTGATCAGTTCCAATTAAAGAGAACAAATTCTTGCCACTACTACAAGCTTATTTCAAACAAAATCATGACATTTCACTAG